AACCACCTAAACGCGAATTGTTCTCGATTTTCCCGAATAACATGTGGCAACGCTGAGCCACAGCGGGAGATAAATACATAAATAGATAAAACATGCATAAAATCCCTACTAATGTGGCCACTGCGTGTGAAAAATAAAGGTTTCTGAACTTGCGGAATGTTCTTGACGAGGAACAGCATCCGAATTCTGAAATATCCGAATATTAAATAATATTATATTATTTTAATATTTATATTCTGTTTTCCGTGAATTCAGGCAATAAAATATGGCAACACCGGCTTTTTTGGGGGGCTTTGAATCGAAAAAAGTTTTTTAAGGAAGGTTTTGACCACCCACGTCCATTTATTGCCAAAAAAGTTAAACTCTGGCGTAAGATGAGTCGCTTTTGTAAGCCATTTTAAATAACGATGAAAAACAGGAAAATTCTAAAAAGTTTTTTTTTTTAACGATGAGCGCAAAGTTTGACATCAACGAAAATTGGCCAAAGTGACTTTATTACATCCCTAATGAACATACTTGAAGGACTTTTTTGTCCTCCGAAGGGATCGGTATGAAACAGCGCGTTGAATGCCGAAAAATCCGCATTTTTCGCCAAAATTAGCCTTCAGACCCATGTTTAGGCCAGTGATAGACCCCGAAATAGATCGAAAATGACCAAACCATTATGCATTCCGTAAAATATAGACCTTCAATGACCAAAAAATCGCGGAGTTGAGGAATTTCAGGATGGGCCCAAAAAAGGCCCTTAACGATACCCCTCCTTTTCCCATCATGTAGAATTTTAAGCCCATAACGCAAATGAATCGGTCTGGCAGTCAAAATCAATGACAAAATGGCCGCCAGACCAATTTAAAATTTGAAAGACTTGGTCTGACTGCCAGACCAAGCAATATCGATTCGTGACAATTTTCCCGATAAAATGAGACTAGTTTCATCTATAGATCTTTCCGGTTAAATTTCGAAAAAATTTTCAAATTTTAAATTGGTCTGGCGGCCATTTTGTCACCGATTTCGACTGCCAGACCGATTCATTTGCGTTATGGACATAAAATTCTACACGATGGGAAAATTTCATGCTTATATCTCTCCAGTTAAATTTAGGTCAATTTTTTTGAAATTCGAAGTCATATGGCCATTGAACGTCACCGATAAGACCTGCCAGAGCGACCTACCTTCAATCAACAGTAAAAAGACATCGAAAAAAATTGTGGCATTTTTAGATCTTTCCGGTTGAAATTCTTAGGGCGAGCTCTTGGGCTATCGCCCTCGACTCGGTTGCAGCGCTTCCCGCACCGGCGCCCAGTGTGTGTGTGGTGGATCGAGTCAATTGTAGAGGTCGGACAAACTTTGGAAACTTTAAAAGCTATAACTACATGCCAAGAAAACTTTGAAGTTTTAAACTTTGTTCAAATGGTCTGCTCGTGAAATTTTCTTCTAGTGGTATCCCTTACAATTCAAAATGTGCCGAATTGAACATCAAAATTTGCAGAATTTGTTAAAAGTTTCATGTCCGACCTCTCTGATTGACTCCAGTGGCGTGGCGTAAATTGCGATGTATCGATTGTTCTGCCATTTAAACATATGGTAAAGAATCGATTATTAAGGTGTTCGCTGCGAACATCCTATTTATCGATCATTTTCCATAGGTTTAAATGACATAACAATCGATTTATCGCAAAGCACGCCACGCCACTGATTGACTCGATCCAACGTGCGGCGCGGTGTCAGACGCCGCAAACAAAATACGCTCCTAAGGTTCCATAACCTAAAAATTTGATCATGCGGAACCACACGACATATCACCCAGACGGCAACATGCAGGAATCACTTCAGAGACTTTAACGCAAAGCCAGAAAAGTAGGCCTACCGACAACTGCGAATCGCTTAACGCGTGGAGACGTTTTTATGTAAAAATTCGCTTATGCTGAATCACTCTAGACATTATTAGACCTTTTGTTGCACGTATTCAGTCTTTGCCTGTAACTTAGATCGGCAAAAAAACGCGATTCAATGTGTGCGACACGTCACAACTATGCGAATGTACCGATGTTCCGGAGAGAAAAGAGTTTGTAAATAATTTTGGAGAAAACTGTGTTAGTCACGTGAAAACACGCAAAAAGATATCTGTGAACAAATGTCCAGATCTTTATCGGCAAGCCTTTGTGCCTCTCATGCAGTGGCGTGGCGTGATTTGCGATATATCGATTGTTATGTCATTTAAACTTATGGAAAAGGATCGATAATCAGGGTGTTCGCAGCGAACACCTTGGTAATCGATTCTTTACCCTAGGTTTAAATGGCAGAACAGCGATATATCGCAAAGCACGCCACGCCACTGCTCTCATGGCACGTTGATCGGCAAAAAACGCAATTCGACGGTGTAAGTCCGCAACCACGTATCTCGTTTGCGGTGCTTGAAAATCTCCGCTCCTATTTTAGTTTTTTAAAAGAGTACAAATCGATATTATTCCATGGATCTTCTGCAGGATTTTCTTCGCGAAGAGGAGAATAACAGTGGCGTGGCGTGCTTTGCGATATATCGATTGTTATGCCATTTAAACCTATGGAAAAAGATCGATTAACAAGGTGTTCGCAGCGAACACCTTAATAATCGATTCTTTACTGTAGGTTTAAATGGCATAACAATCGATATATCGCAATTTGCGCCACGCCACTGGAGAATAATCACGGCAGTTTTTAAGAACTTCCGTCAAGTAGTTTTCCGTTTAAAAAATAAAGTATGACAGGATGTCTGCGACGTCGCAAACCGAGAAACGTGGCTGCGGACGTACACTGAAAAATAATCTCAGTGTATTCACTGAGAAACTAGTAATATTACCAAGAATTCAGGGTTCTATTTGATCCCAGTTTTTTCTTGGTAAAATTACCATTTATGGAATTGGTAATTTTACCGAGAAATCTCGGTAAAATTATTGAACTTTCTCGCTAATTTTACTGGACCTTGGTAAAAACGCCAATATTTTTTATCGACTGTGGTAGAATTACCGAGATAAAATGGCAAAGTTACCGGGAATTGATTACCAATAAAAGTGGTATTCTTACCTGGGAAAAGCAGTAAAAATGCCGGTTTTTAGGTAAGCTTACCAGTCTGTCTTGGTAAAATTACCAATAATTGGTAAAAAAAAGTGAGATGGTAAAGGTACCAACGGACCTTGGTAAAAACGCCGAGAATTTTTTTTCAGTGTACCCCGTCGAATTATTACTGTTGCGGATGGGGCTGTACTGCCGTGCTAAGGAAAAACGCGCTATGAACCTACAGGCATTGCCAAAATTCCATTGATATAACACGAATTTCCCAGTAAACTCATATATACTTTCCTCCCAATATTTCAAATAATTTCGTTCGCAATTTCACCTAAAGTTCCTGAAATTTCAAGGGAAAATATTTATAGCTTGCCGCAAAAATAAGCATTCATTCAAAGGAAATCTGGCAAGTCTCGGATGTTCATACGGCGTTCTTTCTTAGTACGATAGTATATACATTAGCTACATTGAGGTATAAAAAAGAGTGTTTGGGAATATTTTTGAGGAAAACTGCGCTATCCGCGTGAAATTGTGCTAAAAGTTATTTACGCATTTCGGAAAATTTTCAGACTTTTAGCTGCACTCGTACATGCCTTACGGAACTTCCTTTAATTATGACCGCCCGAAAACGCGATTTCGGCTCAAATCTATAATTAAAATTATTGGTCGAGCTTTTTTATGAGATCGCAACGTTGCCTCAAGAATGTGTTGGACAACCACCGTTGTTTTAGTAGCAGTTGAGAAAATCAACATCGTTCGAGAGCTTGCAAAATTCAGCAAATTGAATTCTAGAATAAGCTTATCATTTCGGAACCTCGATGAAGGATGCACTTCGATGACGGCGCAGAGATACAATTATTCGTACTCGATGGATGTCCTCGTTGCGTCTGCAAAATTGAAGGCGCGATGGCGCGAGGCGTGAACTCGTATTGCTTTGCTCTACGCTTCCAATGAGGTATCACTCAGATTCGGAGGAAAATTTGGAGAGAGAGACTAGATTACGCCTCCCCGAGCTTTGCCTGAGATGCTCACGTATATAGCCCTTAAAGCGCCACAACAAATAAGACAAACGGAAACAAATACGCACAGAAATAAACCCTCGATAAAGGATGCGCTTTGATGACGGCGCAGAGATACGACTATTCGTACTTGATGGATGTCCGCGTTGCGTCTGCAAAATTGAAGGCGCGATGGCGCGAGGCGTGAACTCGTAATGCTCCGCTCTGCGCTGCCAATGAGGTATCACTCAGATTCGGAGGATAATTTTGATAGAGAGACTAGATTACGTCTCTCCGATCTTTGCCAGAGATGCTCACGTGTAGCCCTTAAAGCGCCACTGCAAATATGACAAACGGAAACTAACACACGCAGAAGTGGACCCTTCGATAAAAGATTCGCGTTGATGACGGCGCAGAGATACAACTATTCGTACTTGATGGATGTCCATGTTGCGTCCGCAAAATTGAAGGCGCGATGGCGCGAGGCATAAACTCGCAATGCTTCGCTTCATGCCACCAATGAGGTGTCGCTCAGATTCGGGGGAAAGTTAAAAAACGAGGCCCGAATACGTCTCTTATAGCTTTGACTGTGTGGACACTCGATTTTCTCTTATTTTTTTTTAATTCGTCGTTTACTTAATTCGCTTTTAAGGACAAATCAGCAGATCTACATCTACAGGTCGCCGATACCGGCCCCATACAACCCGCGAGGAATATGCTTTTAGCACACTTCGGGTCAGTTTGACCTACCCGGCCTGGGCATCTAAGGGTCAATAAGTAAAAAAGTTTTCACTCGGAAAGTTTACAACGTTAAGTGCAGGAACAGTAAAAGGGTAGGAAATGTGGCAACGCTCTTCGACCGAGCCAGCGGTGACTGATGCGTGTTCGTTGATGCACCTGACTCAACACCCTGTTATCTCACATGTTGTTGACAGATATTGATTGATAAGAGCATGTTTTTATCATCAACCTCGTGAGTGCTTATTTTATTAAAGTGAGCGTGGTGTCTTTATTCATCTTTTGTATTTAAAGTATTCTACACTATCCTCATCCTCCGAAATGTCTCCCAAGTCAGTGAAAGCTAAAATTGGGCCGTCTGTTTTGAATGCAGACCTATCCCAGCTGTACACGGAATCCCAAAGACTCATGGACTGCGGAGCTGATTACTTACATTTGGATGTTATGGATGGCAATTTTGTGCCCAATCTTACTTTCGGACATCCTGTGGTCAAGTGTCTCCGGAATAAAATCACTGATGCCTTCTTCGAAACTCATATGATGGTTGACAAACCAGAAATGGTAACGTGGTTATGCCCTTTATTTAACCTTCGCAATTAATATCTTCCCTGTTCCTCGCTCACTTGAACTATGCACAGCCTTTGCGATTGTGCTCACTTCAGCTCACATGCTGTTGTTTTCTGTAAAACATGAAATTTTTCCTAGGGCCTCTGTACCCTTAATCATGGCAAATAACGCAGTTTGTTAAGATGGTTCGTCAAGCTCAAGTGACGAGGTCGAACTGGCATGCGATGTATCACATTGATTATGTCAAAAATCTTGGCAGATTTTGAATTTTTAGAAAAAATAAAGGACGATAGCCTCTGCGTATGAGCTTTAAGAATCATTCTAGACCCGAAAATTGGCAGAATTCAGAGGAATGAAAGCAGAATAGTGTTAGGAAGAAAACCTTGCATTCAATTCAGCTATCCTAAATCGAATGGGAGGTTGTTTTCCTAACACTATTTTGCTTTCATTCCTTTGAATCCTGCCGATTTTTGGGTCTAGAATGATTCTTTAGGCTCATGCGCAGGGGCTATCGTCCTTTTTTTGGCCAAAAATTTTAAATCTGCCAAGATCTTTGACTTAATTGATGCGATGTATCGCATGCCAGTTTAACCACGTCACTTGAGCTTGACGAATCACCTTAATATTAACACAGCGTCAGCCTTATACTTGTGAAAGGAGAGCAACTGACATCACTTCTACATATAAGGTAAATAGATGAACCAATAGGTGGATCTTCTTTCGTACTTAGTCTAAAAGTGCGTATACTTATTTGGCTCTTATTTAATTCTTACCTTAAAGCTACTTCATCAGATTGATAAACTCAGTGTGAAGGTGAGAAACCTTTGAAATAATGCAGAAAACTCCCAAAGATCACGAGATGTGGGTAAAATTCTTTTGTTTTTTACGAACACTAGGTACTTGCTTTCGTTAAATTTGAAACAGATCTTCTATGAAAGATATTTGAATTTACCCAGTTGAAATATCAACATACCTATATATTGTTTTTCTATTCATTTGAAACTTTTTTGTTCTTTCCAGTGGATTGAAGGTATGGCAGACGCACGAGTTGATCAATATACGTTTCACACAGAACCAGTCAGTGATGTCCTGGGAGTTTGTAGGAAAGTTAAAGAAGCAGGAATGAAGGTGAATACATCCCTTTGGGTGCCTTTTTTTTTTGTTACAAACCATCTCATTCCTCCTAATTAACAAACGCTTTTCCAACTTTGACGTATTGGTCATTCCATGTAAGGAAACAATTTAGTATAACATCAGAATCTGTATTTTGCATTCATAAAAAAATCGATTTTTCTTCGATACCTGAGATTTTTCATCAAATAAGGTTTTTTTTTCTTTTTTTAAAATGAGAGCTGAAAACTTTATTCCTGACAATGTAAACTTTGCAATTCAACAGCATTTCACTTTTTGCCGCAGGCAGTTACCTTGCCTAGGGGTGCTTGATTCTGCCAAAGTATACTTGACTAATGCTTAAGTGCTTACTTAAGCTGTATCTTTTATAGAGGGTTGAAAGCAAATGGGTGCTGAAGTTCCCTCCTCCTATTTTGGATGGATGGATGGATGGATGGATGGATATCATTGATTCCTTTCAGTGTAAAAATAAACTTAGGTCATTGGCTTTCCACACCCCCAATATTCAACCTTGAAATGCATTACCTAAGCCCCCGGCCTATTCACCCATTACCCAGCTATAATCCCAGTGATAACAAGCCATGTGTTCAAGTCTAGCTGGATGATTGCCACAGACATTCTCATCAAAATTTTAGAGCTGCTAAGCCCTCTCTTACAATTAGAGTTCCTAGTATGAATGGTTTGATAAGATTAAACTCCCCAATTATTTTTAATCATGCCTCAATAAAATAAAAAAAATCTATTTGAGTCTGATTTAACCTTGTGATTAAGCAGAATATCAATACTCACCAAAATTATGTAAAACGTCTCTATTAGATAGGTAATACATTTCAATGTCCAGGACAACAACTGAGAAATTTTAAACACTTATCCCAGATTGTAAGGAGTAAACACAAAATCTTAAGTTTACCATCTGTGCATTGTTTTTCAATACATCAAGTATTAAAAAAAAAAAAACAAAACAAAAACAAAACTTATGCAACCGTCTAGCAAAAAAACATAGTTTCCAATGGCGAAATTTTCAGAAATGTGGTTTTTATTGAACTAGATCAATAATACAGCTTTTAAGTTATTGACTGAAAAACGCCCAGGTATCCCAAAGAATTTATCTCAACTGGTGTTAAATTCATTTCTTTGCCAATACAAGACATTGATTTACTTTGCAAATCGTCAATTTTGAATCGCAAATGTAATAATAGATGTAAAATTTATATTGCTCTTTCTCACAACTAGATTTTTCAAACTATGAACTTTGAATTGTCAAAGTTAAACGTGGTTTGATACAACAATTTTGGGTATTATTTTACCTCATGAAAAAAATAATAAACTGAAGTTACACAATATCTACAAAGTGTAACTCCAAGCTCAGCATTCATTTGTCAAGTTAGTTAACTTCATAAAATTTGTAATTGTTTGCAGGTTGGTCTAGCGATCAAACCAAAAACTCCAGTGGAAACATTATTGAAGTACATGGATCAAGCTGACCTGATCCTCATAATGACAGTAGAGCCAGGCTTTGGAGGTCAAAAATTCATGGCAGACATGATGCTCAAAGTCAAGTGGCTACGAGAGAACTATCCAGGAATGGACATCGAAGTTGATGGTGGTGTTGGACCATCAACGATTCAGGCGTGTGCAGAGGTAACTATCACAAGAAAGATACACAAAAGTAACACAAATAATTTAATGAAACGAAACACTAGGAAATAGGAAACCAAGGCTTTAAACAAAGCCTTTTTATACTTAAGCCTTGGTTTCCCATTTTCTTTTGTTTTGTTTCGGTAAATGTCACATTTTATCATAAATTTTTCCACTTGGCTGCAAACCAGCAGTCAAAAAGTTGTTCATGCCACTCAAATTGTTTTCTCATCGACAGCATAGAGGTTTAAAGTTATTTCTTCTGTGCAATTCACTATTGAGGAGGTCTCAAAACTAGGTACCTAATGCTACATTCAAATCAGCTTGAAGAATTTTCGGTCACATGTTTCAACCATGGAAAGTAAGTCGTAAATCATGTTTATTTGATCAGCTGTGGTTCCGATTAGATGTGAAGAAAATGCAATGATACACAAATAACTATGCATGGTTAAGAAGTATTTTTTGTTAATATCCTTGATTTTCTTTTTTATCCCTGCAGGCCGGAGCAAACATGATCGTCGCTGGAACTGCAGTAGTGCAAAGTGATAACCCACAAAAAGTTATTGAAACCCTGAGAAGTACGGTCGCCGGTGCGATTGTGAAGTGTGCCAGTTAACATCTATCCTATGATTAATGCAATTTTTACTTTTCCATTCCTGTGTCAGCACCCTGACAGTTTTAGCCTTTAAATTTAAGTAAGATATTCTGTGATGTAATTTTAAAGTATAAAAATCAAGTACCTTAATGGACTACTTAATTAGTACCCAATTGTTTTTTTAAAGATATATGTAAGCTATCAAAAATTGATTTTAAAATGTTCCATGAATTTATCATTGTTGTTTAGATTCTTCAAATCATCAATAAATACATTCTTATTTTTTATTTTTAAACATGGAATATTTTAATTTTCTGATCCTATTCTTTACACCAATAAGCAGGTACATTTGCTCAAAGAAAGCTTCTTATTTGATTGATTTTTCAATGTAAATTAGGTCAAATCAAATTAAAGGTTTTTTTTAAAAAAAATTTTCCTTGTAGTTACTCAAATGAAGAGAATAAGAAAAACATGATCTTGATTTTTAATAAAATTTTTTATATTCACTGATTTTTTATAATTTTTCAAACGAAAGATAATATTACATTGTAACAATTAAAAATTCTTAATAACGGAAAATATGTACTCAACAAGATTAAAAAATACTAGAATCTTAACTTATGAGGGGAAAGAAAACATATGATGGACGACATTGTCATCGATGTTACCTGAAGAGCAGGATCTCAGTTTTGATAGTTACCTACTAAAAAAACACTGTTGTCAGACAGCCTTCTTCTTACGGAAGGACAGAATAAAATTAGAATTTTAAAAACATATTCGTAAATCAATGCAAACGGACCGAATTGAATTCAAAATAACATGAGAATGATTTGAAAGAGAGTGTGCAATAATTACCTACTAACCCAATGCTAAAGCAGTTTGTTTTGATTTTAAAATTTATACAGTAAATGCACCCATATATTCAGTGATTAAATCAACTTTATGTGAGGAGGCAAGTTAAAAAATCTTTAAAGAGAAGGTGGCACATTTCATCTTCTGAAGCCAAAGTATTACAAGTGCTATTCACACTTAGACAATATGTTACTAATTTTGTTTCAATTTTGTCTTTAAAACTTTTGCACATGCTTTTATGGAAATTTTGGGAATTAATCTTGATGACAGAAGAAATATTCTATACAATTTTCAAGAGGTTCTATGCATTGGTTTATCTGTAAAAAAAACTTGACAAGTTTAAGAAGGCAACATAGTGCCTACGCACAAATAGCACTTGTGATACTTTGGCCAGAGGGTGATGATTCTCTGGCTTCGACGATTTTTTTCTCCTAGACCAGAAGGAAATTAATGTACTTGAAAGTAATTTTTCATTTTCTCGGATCTTCTTTATCACTGACAAGTTTTTCAGTTGCTTGTTTGAATTAAATATTACATAGAAAAGCTGGGGATAATATTGCCTATTATAAAAGAGAAGATTTACAATAAATTGGAACGATAACCAGAATGAACGTAAAAGCATTTTTTTTCTTTAGTTTTGCAACTTTTAGCTTACTTTAATGTTGCTGAATCACGAACACACACAACTACAGAGTTACAATAATGTTCTTCATGTTCTTATTAGCAGTAACAATGCTAGACTTACAATCGGAAATTTTTGAAGCACTTAGAGTGAAAACAAAAACAGAAACACATCCCAATGTTCTAATTTGAATTTTGCCATGGCTTAGAGTAAAACGCAACCGAGATAAATCTCAATCGATAGCATTTTGTTGAGAAACTCACACCTGACTTTGACAACTTAAGTACTAACTTATTTCATGGAATGAATACAGTAACTTTCTTACAAATATTGATTATAACAGAAGGCAATACTCTTTTCCAACTTCAAACAAACAAACAAAAAATTCCATATTTTTTCTTAGCTTCAATTCATGCAACAAACATGTATACAAGCTTGTTCTCGTATTTACACAAGCTTATGTTTTTCCGCTGAGAGACATAACTAAAAAGAGCTGCTTCATACTTTCAAACTTTGATTCAATTGAAAATTGAAAACCGGCAGCTGACTAAAAACCCAAAACAATAAAAAGATAAAAGTGATCAGCTGCAGTTGTTGCAACTTACAAGGGGAACTTCCCAAGCTGCCGCCTCCGATCGGGCTGAAAAAATTCGTACGAACTCTTTGGATGAATTTATTTGACCCGTATTTTTTTGTTTTTTCCAATGCCCCCCAGAAACACCCCAAAAAAATTCCGGAAAGTTTTGCTTTGAGCGCTTGAGTCTATATACGCAGTATAGCAGCAGATGCTTTCCGTCAAGCGGTGGCTCTGCGGTAGCGCGCTCGCCCAGTAATCCGGCGGGTCCGGGTTCGATTCCCGGACGCCGCGCTATATTTTTACGACCGAATTTTATATTCTCACACATTTTTACATCGATTCCCATTTGATACATTAGAACTTAAAACATCAATTAATTTACAACCATCAACGATCAATAACTTCTTCGCTTTGAAGTGTAGATTTTTTTTTGGGAGGGGGGAGGGGTCACGCGCGCGATATTCTCGCCAATCACTGTACTTTCACATTAGCAGACGACCCGCTCCGCCCCCTCACATCAACATATTTCTCCCGATCACCCGTATGAGTCATGATTTTTCCCATCATTATCCTGAAAATGATAATGAAAAATTACTTCGAACATTCAAATTAAAAATGCTACAATTTTTCATTATCATTTTCTGGATAATGATGGGAAAAATCATGACTCATACGGGTGATCGGGAGAAATATGTTGATGTGAGGGGGCGGAGCGGGTCGTCTGCTAATGTGAAAGTACAGTGATTGGCGAGAATATCGCGCGCGTGACCCCTCCCCCCTCCCAAAAAAAAATCTACACTTCAAAGCGAAGAAGTTATTGATCGTTGATGGTTGTAAATTAATTGATGTTTTAAGTTCTAATGTATCAAATGGGAATCGATGTGAAAATGTGTGAGAATATAAAATTCGGTCGTAAAAATATAGCGCGGCGTCCGGGAATCGAACCCGGACCCGCCGGATTTCTGGGCGAGCGCGCTACTGCAGAGCCACCGCTTGACGGAAAGCGATTGCTGCTATACTGCGTATATAAACTCAAGCGCTCAAAGCAAAACTTTCCGGAATTTTTTTGGGGTGTTTCTGGGGGGCATTGGAAAAAACAAAAAAATACGGGTCAAATAAATTCATCCAAAGAGTTCGTACGAATTTTTTCAGCCCGATCGGAGGCGGCAGCTTGGGAAGTTCCCCTTGTTAGAAGAAATCAGATGTAATGAGAAAATTAGAAACAAACCCATTCTTCTGTGATATCTAATGCATGGGGGATAATAATTTTCATTTGATGAGAAGACATCAGGCCAAAATACAAAAAATGGATCGAATCTTCACGCTAAAATGTGTAATATTCTACTTTGTCACGGTATTTAACCTTAATGATTGATGGAAAAGAACCTATGTCTCCGCATAAAGTTACAGGAGTTGTGATAATTCCTTGGAGGATGGAAACTTCTCTGGATGATGTCAGAGGAACACTTCTGTTGCTCGTTGGCATTGTCTCAAGTACATCTAATTTATTTTTTAAGACCTAAACTGCAGTATTGTTTTGTTCAATGAAACTTCTTTCTCCTTTTCAAAAAAAAGTGAAAGATATGGATCGAAGTAAGTCCTCAGCGGAAAGATGAAAAATACTCCATTAAAAAAAAGTAATATACAACGATCTAGGATCCTTAGATTGCCTAGAAAACGAGAATAAAGTTCAAACAGCATGCTGGCTTCGCTTCACTAGTGAATATCTTCTGGATTGAACATTCCCTGAAAAAATAATACCAGATTGAATTAGTAAGCTAGTATATGTGATCTCAGATGTGGTCCAACAAGATTGATAAAAGGCTTCTGAAATGAAAATATCGTCCAAAACTTGATGAAAAAGAGCTTTGGAAAATTTTTGGTATTGATCATTGTTCCATTATTTCTTTGAGAATTAAACTTGCTTGCTAGTGAGCAATCCGTGTGATGAAATTATTGAATGTAATGCAATGGGCCTGTTGCAAACTTTTGCTAGAGCAAAAATAAGAGTTATTCCTTACATATAATGTCTCAAAAATCACGATGAGCGCATCGGCAAAGTCTGAAATGCACTCATAACTTCACAATCTGCGTAGGAAATTTGCGGTTTTTTGAGCTTCCCGCTTCAAAAACGATAATACGGCACAGGTGAACATTTTGTTAGAGGAGTCGTTCCATCGTCGGCAATATTCATGGCCGACGCCAGTCCGCCAAAACACGTGTAACGGGACGAGATAACAACTGACCAGGATAAGAGCAGATAACAATCGGCGTGTTTATGTTCATATTTTCCTCGCCCGCCTTGATTGACCTTGATCTCTCCTCAAATTACGCGCGAAACTGCGGAAACGTCGGCCATGATGAATATTGCCGACGATGGAACGACTCCTCTAACAAAATGTTCACCTGTGCTGTAGTATCGTTTTTGAAGCGGGAAGCTCTAAAAAACGCAATTTTCTTACGCAGATTGTGAAGTTATGAGTACATTTCAGACTTTGCCGATGCACTCATCTCGATTTTTGAGACATTATCTGTAAGAAACAACTCTTATTTTTGCTCTAGCAAAAGTTTGCAACAGGCCCATTCCTTTTTTATCTGCCGAATTTTCTAAAAATTTCACAAAATAAACAGTGGTACCACTGGTTTTCTCTCAAATTAACTCTGAAGCTGGAAAAAAGATCTTAGAATTCAGATCTCCATGAGCGCAATAGCTTGTACAATATGCTAGCGTCTACTTCTACACTCACTCTAACCCTAACAATTAACTGAACACTATACTGATGAAACTTGTAACTATACTTACTTTGGCTCTTCTGAGAATTGAATCTTTACTAGCATCATAGGGATGATCTTTTGATGGAATTTCCAGGACAGCAGGGATTGGCTGCGTGTGTGAGTCGATAACATGTCGGATCAGTTCTGCCACCTTTGGGTAAAATTTCAAAATTGATTAGCTATGATATATAGGCCCAATAAACAAGTGAACCGAGTTTAACAAAAACTCATAAGGTTGCGTTCTCGAAAAAATGAGGGGGGAAAAATGTCTCAACTCAACTCATTGTAAATTTTCCCCTGCCAGAAATTCAAAGTAGAAAAAGTGTAAATCGAATGTGAAAATAGTCCTCAAACTTTTTTCTAACATTGAGCCTTTTGAGAGAATATTTTTCGCTCTTCCAGAATATTGATACCTAGAGCGTATAGGTGCGCTTTTTCCAAAAATATGAAATGCTTTGTCAAACAACACTCGATTGAAAATTTCACTCATTTCAGAATGTTTTGATGAAAATTAAAAGAGCGTTTATAAGAGCTAAAATTTTGAGACTGAATCCTGGATATTTCTACATAATTTCTTTTGTCAGCTTTTCCTTTGTGTTTCAGATACATTGGCAGAGATACAGCAATAGGTCTTTTACCTACAGAAAATCAGTCCTGCTCCAATTACTCATCAATTTCTGCTAAAACGGATAAATTTTACAATCTATACGTCTGAGTAAGATACCTAACATTTTGCCAGGTATAATTTGTAAAAGAACATCCAGCAGAATTCAATTACTGGAACAGGTACTTAGATTTTACTGACCCCAACTATCAGCGCTCAAAGTTTGAAACTGAAATCTCTTTCTTAGATGGATAAATTCTATGGTATTGTGTTTCCTTTACTATACAAACTCTGATTATGTGGACTATAATATCCAAACCAATTCCCCTCTGTATTGAAATGCGAAATGAGCAAGCATTTTGCATTCTAATCCTGCTGCAACTTCCAAATAGTCTTTTTGTCATACACTTCTGTTGGCTAGGCCCTCTTAACTTGTGACCAGAATTGACTGAAAACTTGCACAACCTGCCACATAATCCTAGCACAATCTTGGAAATCTCAGGATTACATTGGACTCTCTAGTGTCCGTCCGAATTTCCATTCTTCAAATATCCCAGTTTTGCCACCAAATACCAAAGCTTAAATAGTCAGAGAAAAGTCATGAGTCAGTAGTACTTTGTATGAGATTGAGTACCGATTGAACTTACATTCTGATTAATCAGGATGATATCAATGTCATCACGTTTCACAAAGTTTTTGAAAGTTTCTTCAATTTCGCTGACACTCGTATCTGAGGAAAAAAATAAAACAAGATAAAATAAAATAAAAATAAGAGAAGGTGGGATAGCTAACTCAAGTCTATGTTTGCATTTTGCAATTGTGTTTATTCAATGCTTCACAGTATACCTACTCGATGGCCTCTGAGAATATTGAAGCATTGAGTAAGGATGATAAGGAACCTTGCAAAAGAAAGCAAGTCGAGAAAATTCAAACATGGATGGCATCAACGCAAACTATTGGACATTGACAAATTCTACTTCCTAACAGTCTCAAAAAATTTGGTTTGATGACACACACTGTAAAACTTAATGTCAAAGGAAGAAAGAAAGAAAAACTGCGGTGTTTAAGAAGTATTGTCAAGAGTGGTTTTGATTATGTTCCAATTGACAAATCGACGGTGTAAGTCGGCAATCACATAACTCGGTTTGCGACGTCGCAGACTTCCTGTCATACTTTATTTTTTAAACGTATAACTACTCAACGGCAATTCTTTGAAACTGCCATGATTTTTCTCCTCTGTGAAGAAAATGATGCATTAACTTCAAGGAATGATGTCAATTTGTTCTCTTTTAAAAAAATAACATAGAGGCAGAGATTTTCAGACACTGCAAACGAGTTATGTGATTGCCGACTTACACCGTCGAAATGATGCTGAGATTTTGTTCAAAGCTATTGACATATTGACGATGAAGCTGAAAAATGCCAATCTTAGTTACAGTGTTTCAAAATCCTGCTCATGCTTTATTTTTTCAAAGGAGACCCAACCAACATTATAGCTTGAAACCACATAATATTCATACACAGAGAACAAAAATCACCGAAATTTTAAAAAAATGACAGTTGGGAGTTTTCCATGTAGAAAATAAATGATGACAGAAAGTCTAAAATGCCACAAACTGAGATATGCATTTCTGCAGTTTCACCATCAATATATAAGTAAATCATGTTTGTTTACTTGCTAGAGAAGTCCATGTTCCAGAATTTTCGGAGATTTTTATAAAAATTGAGGGTTTATTCTTTTTGACACTTCTACTTGTGAGGATTAGACTTCTGTAAAAATCTCAATTTCGAAAAAAATTTCAATCCAAATATCCAAGATTATACATTCTTAGAAATGGGTAATGTAATTGTTTTGTGAATTTTTAGAGCTTCCTCCTAAGTAATCCTATCCGGCTCTCTTTTATTCTGCTATCTGGCAGAATTCTATTAGAGGCAGGAGACAACATAAACACAAAACATACAAAACTAACATATTGACTACAAAACTAATGAAGAAATACTCACTCTTGTCAACGACCATGAAATTGGAATTGCGATTCTTGTTTATTTCACCAACACCTCCAAGCAGAAATCCAACACAGGTGTCCTGTTCAAAGTAAACCAAAGAAGTTAGGAGCTGCTTATTAAAGGGGATAATAAACAAAAATCTTACTGCTAAGTAAAATAAAATACAAAACTTCCTTGGATAACAGCTTTTCATACGTGTCATTTGAGTTGTTAGAATTTTATTGTTCCATCAACGTCCAACAGCCATAAGTTTATGGATTCTTTGTAGGACATTTACCTGACCTGACCATTATTCTGGTCCAAGACAACGCATGAACTGAGCCCCCATTTAATCAAATATAATATGAACGATCATTACGTCCTGCAAAAATCTCCTGTCTACAAGCGATTAAAAAATCTATAGTTTTCTCATTCAGCTAGATGCGATGAGGTCTATTTGAAATTACTTTAGTATTATAATCTGATTTTAGATGACTCAGATCTTACAACCATGGTTAAAACGTAACCTCCATAATTCTAATTTGCAGATATTTCCAGGACATTATGGGTTGCCTCTGAAGAAAGGTTGAGAAATGTTTACATAGGTTATCCATTGATACATCTTGCAAAAGCAAAGACAATTGTTTGAGTTATTATCTGCTTGCAAACTTAAAATCTATGGACCACACTTAATAATCAGTATAAGTATGAGCGTTTTCCTTCTAACAGAGTGAGGATCCATACAGAACTGTTGGCGGAAGCAGGTCATATTTCAGACTATATACAATTGTGGCGCATCAATAAAGAACGGCAAGAAAACATGTCATTCCAGTCATAGAAGAATAGAAAAACCGTTTCAGCACTCCATAGAACAAGCTGCTGACCAGGGTGCGAGGGAGAGATTCAATTTATGGAATAAACGGAAGATGTCAAGCTCCGCCTAACCTAAAAACATTGCAACTCAGAAGATCCTAAAGTTTCCTCACAAGTCATGTATTGATTAAGGAAGAATGTGTATTTAAAATTAGTCTTATGAGAAATAATTCCAGGATACCACATCGCAAAAGCAAAGAATAGAAGATAAGAGGAGACTTGTCAAGACAAACGCTGATTAGGGTGGAGACTTCCTACAAGGTGGAAACCAGCTGAAATGAAACAGTTATTGCTCTTTCTTACCTCGTCACCGATCACAGCCAACAGTTTCCCTTTAGCAGCAGAGTGTAAGGCCATTTTCAAAACGCTGAAATTGGTTAAAATCCAGAAATTAAAGAGGAAATAATGATTATTTCCAAGTTGTATTATCAATGTGTTCACTGGTCAGCTGATAAACGATAACAAGCTATCAGGTAAGTTTGACTGGCAACACAAGAATTTTCAAACATTAATGTTTTGAAACTTATGAATTATAACCGATAAAATGAATTTTGTCGCGTAAAATAATTACTCAATATTCATTCTACATAATTTTCTTCAATTGGAAAAATTTTTATCAAATGGAAGGATTTTTATGCATCTAATTTTATTACTCACAATTCTGGTTGACTTGTGCTTGCGTTGGCAGTGCTGCATCGACGACATGAGGTCAGCAAGCGCGGGATTTACGAAATAGCGAAAAAAGTTCACTCGGAAGGGAAGGGAAGGAGAGGGACTCAGGGACTCAATTATTCTAGTATTTGCGTGTTTGTGATGGTTTATCCTTCAGCAATGAAGGCGCTGGGTGCAGAAAGGGACTTTCTTGGTTGTGATGTCTCAAAATCTTCACTGCGAAGTGAATTGCATTTATCAAAAAGGAACCAGCACGATTACGGTGTTTTCAAAATCGTGCAACTTCTCCTTTTCTTTTAAAAATACTTAATATATGTACAGTGTTAAAACTTACTCAATTATTTTCATTTAAAAATAAGTATTTTTTGGTGCGGGAAACCAAAACTATTCGTTATTCTGGGAGATTTTTTAAATAATTATGAAGAAGCGCGAGCCAATTTATAATACAGAGAGAAAACTATCGGGAAAATTTTCTGAAATTTTTCGTTTTCAGCATTGTAAAATCATGACAAAAATTCAGTAGAAGTTTCAACGAATTCCAGTCACTTGCTTTAATCATAATGGATGAAACGTTAGCCTAGATTCTGAGTCACCGCAACCAAGAAATGTCCTTTCTGTACCTATTACTTCAATTTTTGAGTTACCTACTTACAGTGAAGAGAGCGTTTTCAATAATTGAGGTCTGTTACCTGCCAGGACAGAGCGAAAGTGTACAAGTGAGCAACCACTCGCATTCCCAAGCCGCTCATATTGCCATCGCGGTTTTTGAAGGCGAACTCCACGGGATGAGAGCCGGGAACAGGAATGGGTCAATTTTGGACTTTTTTATCTCAATCTAGAATACAATTTTCCGGACTTCCCGATTTCAATCGAATTATTTCAAAATTTCTAAGGACCCCGACTTTTAAATTCAAAGCCTCTCCTTCATCAGGCAGCTGATCAGCCGGGGGGAGGGGGGGGGCTCGGGATGACAGAATTTCGATTCTTTAGGATCAATTTCTCAAACAATCTTGCGGTCCTACACTTCGTTGGGTCTAAGTAAGTCACCGAAAAAAGTCTGGTGCGGGTTACCAGGAGGATTACCCTGTCTATCGATGGCGGAAGTGCGAAACCACGTAACTTCTTATTTTTTTATTTTTATTTTTTTTTAAATCTAGTGAACTAAATTTCTTAAAAACTTCCTTGCTTTTTCCTCTCTATTAGCAGAATATTCCGTCTAAATTTCAAATTATATAGTTTTGGCCTGTTTCTCCTCAAAAAATAAAGCAGGAGCAAAGATTTAGAAACACTGCAATGGCGATAAGTGGTTTCGCACTTTGGCTATCAATAGCTTCTTTATCGCTCGATATCATTACTCTCTTCCGTCTCAAGACGTGCGATTAAGAATAAGAATCCAGCCGGGCAATACTGCACTATGCGCAACACTGTCACACTGACACTATCGCTGTCAGTTGCACCGCCTTCTCTCTCCTTAATATAAGGAGGTAATTAACGTACAGCCACAGAATGATGCAACGTTGTCACGCTTCAACAAAAATATCATATTTCTGTATGCGGAGCTTGCCATCAGGATGGAGATATGAAGGATTACTTGGAAATTTCGCAACGCAGACGTAGCCCACAGGTCTCTTTGGACGCAGAAATTGACTCCTTCAATTTGCGAGCGAAGTCATTGGTCTTCTACTTAATTCGCAGCACGAACTGTGGCAAATAGGTACGCGCTAAAGCTAGGGAGTAAGGACCTTTGATGGGAAAGGATCCCTATCTCGATGTCTCAAGTTGAATTCTTCTGATACGCAGGTAAAATTTTGCAACAAAAGGATGGATCTAAATTCGCAGTTAAATGCGATTTTTTTAAGCATAGGCATACTTAAAACTGGAATATTTTAAAATTCATGGAATTAATCCCATGTGTCAGAGAGAATAGCGTTCTGCGATGCAAAGAAAAAATCATAGCTTATTCCTATCTCATTGTAATAAGTTTTACAATTAGTTGGAGGTGCCCCTTCAATTAAAAGATAGGCAATATACACAACACACCGATGCAGGAGCACTATTGGACTACATTTTGCAATTTGGAACTATAAATTCTAGCCCGGTTTAAAAACAACGTATGTGCCATTAGTTTCTCTATGCACATTATTGTTTTTCCAGAGGAGCCAGAATTTATAGTTCGAAATTACAAAATGCAGTCCAATTTTACAGTGTAATCACAATTTAGTGCACTCTTCGATTGTTTGTCGCGCTCAGTAGCTATGGTGGATTTCATGGAAATACGAAAGAGGGAGAGAAAAAAAGAAAAACCTGTCAAGTATAGACAAGAGAGATAAAAGTTTGTTGGATCAAGGATATGAAAAAATATTTATTAAGAAAAAAAATCTAATGCCACCAAGGTGTTCCGAAAATTCTCTTACATTCTTAAAGGAGGCGCGGTAGCTTTCCAAGGCAACCAGTACCCCTCCCCTCCACTCTTTCAGTTCTTTCCGTGAGAAAAGATGCCCCTATAACCGTGAGGGAAACTGCACTTTCAAGGTGCAGAGTAGAGTCTCGATTATCCGCGGTGATCGCGGATATTCCGAGATTGAGCTATTAGGGAAACTGCACTTTCAAGGTGCAGAGTAGAGTCTCGATTATCCGCGGTGATCGCGGATATTTCGAGATTGAGCTATTTGACCAAGACAAAGGATTGTTATTCTATCTATTCGACAATCAATCAAATAGTCGACAGAAATGTAATTATTGGTTGAAAATGAATGGATTTGATTTTAAGAAAGTTATAATGGGATTTTTTTTTTTTTTTTTTTTTTTTTTGGAGGAAAATTTTTACAGAAAGTTTGCGCAGCGTCGATAGGTCTAAGTCATTGAAAAAAACCGCGGATATTCCGAATCGCGAATAATCGAAGCGGGAATACACAAGACTCTACCGTATATAGTAACTTTCAAGATACTTTTCTGGAAAATGCACACAAGTGGGCACTAAAGACGGGAAAGACATTTATTTATAGGTCATGAAGACGACACGGAGACCGCACGTGAAAATAGTTGCATCACGAGGTAACCTACGTTTCTCGCAAGTCGCGAGTGCATTGTACTCAGTGCGCTTTTGGATACGAGCCATTGGCTACCTCCATTTTCGGGAGACTCCAAAACCATGCCCACAAGCGCAGTTAAATCTGGATCCGTTTCATGCACTTGAGCTTAATTACTCATATCAATGTAGTGGTGCTTCATAAACAGGACAGTCCATCTGCAAATTTATTTGGACTGCATTTTGCAATTTGGAACTATAAATTCTGGCTCTTAAGGAAAAACACTTATGTGCATAGGGAAGCTAATGGCACTTACGTTGTTTTCAAACCGGGCGAGAATTTATAGTTCCAAATTGCAAAATGTAGTCCATTTTATTGTGTAGTGTTTCCCATATTAAAAAAATTTAAAAAAATCCCCCATTTTCAGGAGACTCCAAAATTATGCCCACAAGCGCAGTTAAAGTAGCTGGAGCCGTTTCTTGCACTAGAGTTTAATTGGACTACATTTTGCAATTTGGAACTATAAATTCTAGCCCGGTTTAAAAACAACGTATGTGCCATTAGTTTCTCTACGCACATAAGTGTTTATCCAGAATAGCCAGAATTTATAGTTAGAAATTGCAAAATGCAGTCCAATTAGTACTCATAGCAATGTAATGGTGCTTTATGAACAGGACAGCCCGTCTGCAAATTTATTTTACTAGGTAGTATTTCCCATATTAAAAAAATAATTTAAAAAAAAGTTTAAAAAATGAGTCCCTATATTTTAAATTTGAAGGGTTTACAATCAGCAATAATGCAACGTTGCGTGGGTTCATCCGAAAAATGATCTCTTTATTGGTAAGGGCTCATGCTGCATGCAAATCGAGAATTTCGGGGAGGAATCAAAGTTTCTCAAAGTTATTTCAAAATACATATGGGGAATTTGAAAATTGGGGAAGGCGGAAGGGAGTTTTTGGATCTCAGGGTGGCAGAGAGGGAAGGGGCTGGGTCGGTGGGAACTCTTGCGGCTTTTGTA